AGCAATAATTAACACCAAATTGATTAACATCATTTAAATGAATATAAAAACAATTAAAATAAAATAACATAAAACAATATATTGTAATTATTGTTAAATGTAATAAGTTAAAATATCATTATTATTTGAGGTTTGATAAATAATCAAATTGGAAAATAAATATTATTTGTAAATGTCACATTTTCATTGTATTATTTAAAAATAATATACCGATTAGTACATTAAACATATTAACACAATGTAACTTATTATGTTCAAATATCTCAAAAAATATTTGTTACACAAATTGTAAGTAATTGAGAAAATTTTAATCTATATTCCAAAGACAAAACAAAAAAGTTACAAACATTTAATAATAACACTTACTATTATAACTCACACCCAATTAATATGATGATAAATATCTGTCTCTACATATCATAAACCAAAATTTGTGATTACTTCGAAGTTAACTTTTTAATTTATTTCCTGTTGTTCACTATGTGATTTCAAACTTTATATGTTGCATACTTATCAATTTATTATATACAAGTTACAAAATCAAAAAACGCACATTTTGTATGTATTTTGATACCGTCTTTTTTGTTCATACATTTTAATTATGTTGTTAATTTATTGAATTTGAGTTTTGTTGTTTTCAAATTTGTTATAAAATTTACAACTTAATCAATATCAAGTTAGTCTTATTTTGTGAAATATAAAACAATTCCAATGTTATTTAAAATTCTACTTTATAAAATAAAAATATCTAAAACAAACACAATAAATATATTATTTAATTTCTAAGCAAACACTGTGTCTATTTTAATGATTAAACAATTCGACCAGACAAATTTTGATATCAATGTTTAAAAATTGTTTGTGTAACAACCGAAAAATAAACAATTTAGTATTTTTTTCAATTTAAAATGTTTGTTTTTGAACAATTTATTGATATTGAAAAAATATCAATAAATTATTTCAAAATAAAAAAACGAAAGATTATTTGAATGAGTGAACACAAATTATATTATAAATAATATTTATAATTTTTTGTGTATTTCTAATAAACAATTATCAAAAAATATTTTTATTAATTGAAAGTTTTAAATTTTTATTTTTATTTTTATTTTTATTTTTATTGAATAAATAAATGAAACCGATAATTATCAACATTAGTTACTTAAATAATTATCAAAGAAATTGTGGTATTGTAACGTACGGATTAACAAAAGAAATAAACATTTTAGGTATCAAAAAATGACGTGGGTAATTAGAATTGTAATTTTAAAAAAAACTATGATTATCAACAAAAAGATAAAACGTTTATTGTGTAATATATTTAGAAAACAAATTCATTCTATTATAATAGATTAAAAAACATAAAGTAAACATACAAAATGTTGTATACATTTAGCATTTGATTGTTATTTTTATTAAAATTTGAAAATTTATATTTTTTAAAAAAATACCATTATATTAAAGTTTCATTTATATTTAAAGTTTTTGATTTTTTACATAAATTTTGTTTAAACGTTATAAATGTAATTTAGTCAACCAAACAACGTTTAAAACATCATTGAATAGTTTAATTCAATGTCAATAAATTGCATTTTTGGATATTATTAATAATTTTAAAAACAAAATGGGTATTATAACAATCCAATTTGGTTTAAAAATCAACAATTTATTCGAAATGATTATTATAATATTATATAAAAACAAACAGAGTATTTATTTATATTAACATAATATAATAGCCAAGAAAAAATAGATGCTTGAAAAAGTTATGTGTAAATTAAAAATTGATTATTTTTATTATTTTAATTTGATTCTTATTGGTGTATAATTATTAAATTTGTTTAACGTTTTAAAATGAACAATAATTAAAAACATTTAAGTAAGGTTTGTGACTGTACAAGTTTTTTATGGTTGGACAAATATTATTCAATTGTTTTTTGAATAATTTAATTTTTTTACTATTTTAATATTAAAACAAAGTTGTTATTTTTTTAGTTTGCTTATTAATAAATTTTTAATATAATACTGGTGATTCCGGAATCGGTTCGGGAACCGCCATGTTCCGGAATCAAAAGTTTGTGAATATTTTTTTATGAAGTTCGGGAACCAGTGTGTTCGGGAACTTATTGGTTCGGGAACACACCAATTTTAAGTTTGGGAATCAGGATGTTCCCGAACCGAGGTTAAAAATATTCCCGAATATTTTTTGATTCCGGAATCGGTTCGGGAATTTGATAAAAAAAATAAAATTCCCCAAATAATTTCCTGGAATATTCGGGGAGTGTTTCGACAACACTACTCACAAGAATATTTGAAAAAAAATTATCAATTTACTAATAAATATTCCGAAGAAGATATTTTGAATTGTTTCGCAATTAAAGCCGGAACTATTAAAGCAGCATCTACTAAAATTAATAATAAAGAATGTAGAAAAGAATTATATGCTATGGGTATTAACACAAGAGAATTATATTTATATTATATAGCAAAATTAGAAGATCAATTAAAAAGAATTGAAGATAATAAGAAAAGTTCTATTAAATTAGAACAACCATTTTTAATAAAAGTTTTCAATAAATTAAACAAAATTGATAAACAAACTTTTGGTTTAATTAACAAGAAAACATTTTTAATTAAAGATTCAGATGATGTAAAAATTCAAAAAGAACTTGATAAAAAGAATTTAGAATGGACTTTAACACGTTCAAAACAGAAGCGTAATAATAATAAGTTTTTATTTTTTTTCTTTTACCTAAACCTTTTTTTGCCTTCATACACAAAACAAAATTTTGAAATTTTTTTAATTTTTTTATCAACTCAATTTTGAATTGTATATTTTATAGTCACACAAATAAACATGAATGAGTTTGTTTGTGTAAAACAAGAGCAAAGCTTAAAAAAGAAAGATGGGGTCTAATGATGGTTTGATATATTTGGTTGTTTTTTTATAAAGAGAATATTGTCATTTGATTATAACGTAAATAGTGTTTTTAAAGTAGTTATATTTGTTAATGCGACTATTTGAAGTTGTTTGTTATAAAGTGGATTGACGATGAAGCGTTTTTTGTTTTAATGTTGTAACACAATAAAGCGATATGAAATTTCGTCCAAAAAGATTATTTTTGATCAATCTTAAGTAATTGAGTTCTCATTTGTTAATTATTTTAAGTAAAATAAAACTGACTATTGGCCGGTTTGGGGTTAGAAAAGGGTTTTTGGAAT